GCGAAGGCCCTTTGACTTTGTCTGGAAATTAATAGTAGACGAAGACCGTTCAAAATTATATTATTTATGCTTTGTACCTGTATGGCTGTACTACAGTTATAAATATTGCAGTATTAAATATAATAAATGACTTAGGAAAAGTAAATAGATCCCTTCCCATGTTATACACGTTGGCAGCCAAATGTATTTTAAAAGCTCCAAAAAGAGCTTCGTATTATTTTATATAATTGTATTAAATTTGCCAGCCAGCAAAATATAAACAAGGCAAGGACAGCCAAGGTTTTATACTCTATACTATAGTGACCATACGGTAAAATCATATGACATATGAAGTAATAGCAGTATGGCTTGCCTTATTCTGTTTAGATACCGGTATAAGCTTGTGGGAGCTGTCGAACAAAATCCTCAATAATTTCTTTCAATGTAACCGGGATCGAGCCAGAGATAACAACATCAGGTAAAGTGCCCACCAGGGCCCGAGCAGCAAACGGAATCGCAGCAATCAAGAACAACCCAAGGACCACTCTTCCAAAAGCCAAAACCACGACCAACTGCGTAGAGGAAACCAAAACCAATTCTTCTGCGCACCAATCGTCTTCTTCTTCTCCAAACTTCTTTCTGCAACTTCCTTTCTTCTTTCTTGAATCTGTATGTCTTCAAAAAAACGTCCAGGACTCTTCCCACTTAGCCAAAAGGCCGGGAAGCGATGCCTTCCTCGGCGTTTGCCACACATATTTCTACCGAACACTTCTGCTACGAAAACGCGGTGAGAAGGAGCTCGCTTGCGAGCGATTATGACGTCGACAAACACTTGATTACTCGTCGCACAAGCACGGCAAGTCCGTGGTGATCGCCTGCTGCGACTCTCGCGGGGCATTCGTGCTCTTTAAAGATCCAGGAATGCGTCGAGCTTCTTTCACTCGCAAATTGCATTGTGACCTGGAAAGGTTTCGGGTCCCCCACCGTGAAATAATGCGATGTTTGAATAAATGTTTACTTGGTATTCTATAAGTTTGACCGGCAAAACATGTGCGCTTGAGTGACATGCAAGCCAGTTAATCGGCACTTGGAATGTACGTGCGATGGCTTGAAATTCTGTTGGCAAGCAAGTGACTTTATACAGCGAATTAACTGAATAGTGTGCAAAGACTCGAAGTGCTTACAAAATATAAACGTGTATAGCTTTACTTACCATATAATACGAACACGAGATGGAGATTTTGGCGCCGAGAATATATAAAGTGTCTCTTCTGTGATAAATGATATGTTTGACATCTGATTCTATACAAAAACAATCGACACACGGCAGTGTTAGAAAAAACACGGCTTTATACATTTATACATGAATATATATGTTGAAGGGGACGAGCGCGAACACAGGTCCCCACTACCAGAAATTATACGCTCGAGTTACCCACATTAGGGGTAATCGCAGGAGTCAACCCAGTCGAAGTGCAATGAAAGGGCCTCATCCTGAGAGGACCTCCTAGTTGATCAAGGTGCCTCTCGCGTCAGGTAAGTTTATGTTTGTTTGAGACAAATTCTCACCCACTTGGGTCCGTGCAATGAATTTGTCTATAACAAGGAGTGTGCACCGGCATGCAAACGACTAGAGAGATGATCCCTAACTCCTCCTTAAATGTACCCGGGTATTGTTATTATTCTGACGCCCCATTGGGTACATTTAAGCCTATTTAGTATATATTTATTTATATTTAAAAACTAAGAACTAAACTAGGCAATTAAAAAACGCCACCTCCCACAAGAGAAGAGCAGCCAAAGAAAATTCTAATATCTTGCTAGGAAGGCAAGGGGATAGTTGATTCCAATTCCGGCAGTTCAACCAATGAAAGCGACCCCCGGTCACAGAACAACAAAGATATTTAAAAAGAGAAGACCAGCTTCTCGCCCTGGAAATGACCCAAACGACCACTTGCAAGCCACTCCTTCTCAAAAGATCGAACTTGAGCTGGTGACTTGCATTTCCGACCAAGAAGACAAAGGACAAACTTCATTCGGACGATCAATTTGTTGAGACATTCCGACTCAACGGGCATCTTGCCTCGAAACCGATAATCACAACGAGCTACCCAAATGATGTGCTTCATCGTATGAAGCATCCATAAAATGACCAATCGAATCTTACGTCGACGTTCCGTTGTGAAACCAAAGAGTAGCTCGTCTACAGTAAACTTGCTTGCTGCAGGATCAACCTGCAGCAGGTTAAAAAAGACCCATGCTGTCACAATCCTGGCAACTCGACATTCGAAAACGAGATGCTCCAGTGTCTCCTCGTCAGCTTCACGGAAGCACTGAGGATCTACATGAGCCATCCCAAAATCATGTCTCAAACGGGAACCGGTGTGGAGGACACCGTGAGCTATTTTCCAGTTCAAATCTATGACGAAACGGTCCAAGGTGGTAATATGCAACTGAGCCCATGTTTGAGGCCAGTGCAAAGGACCATAGTCGCCATAGAAATGTAATACGCAGGTTGGCTCACGGTACCGTTTGAGTTGTCCAAGACGATATGTGTTACAAGAGGAGAACTGCAATACAGACAAAGGCGTATCAGAAGATGCCTGCAACGCGAGTTCATCCCCCGCCCCGTCCCCATCCAACTCCCGCCAGGTGCGGAAAATGATTCGATAAAAGGGGGTAGGGCGTTCATCAGGCGACTAGGATGAATATGCTTAAAAGCCTCTTGCGCAGACCTGCCCAAGCAAGAGGTGATAAAAAACTTAAAAAAGCTCTTCCATTTCGCTCATTCTGGAGCGAAAAACCGTTTCACCCACTGTAAAGCGAGGGACTCGGCCTTCCTTTCAAAATCTATCACCCCAAAGCCTCCCTTAGACTTTGGGAGACACACAGTGGTGCGGGCTACCAGATCTTTTTTGCCCGACCAAAATATCATATATCATGTCGAAGAGACAACAACCTTCGAGAGGCAGCACGCAAGAATTTGCTAAATCTGCCCATAATACGCCTAACAAAGTAAGGAATTCAGAAAATAAGACACCTAAGACATCTAAGAAAGCAATGACATCTGAAAACCCAGAAGAAATTAGCAAAATCGACGAGTTATACACCATGATGAAATCTGTTATGGTGAAATTGGAGACGCTCGACTTGATCAACGAGCGCATTTTATCTGTCGAGCAAAACGTGAAGAGCCTGACTAAGTCTATGGAGTTTGCTCACGC